GTGTGGACTGAATTCATTTTCAGTGGGACATGAAACAATGGCGTGCTCTTGAGGACAGAAAAAAAACACTCGTGTTCCGCAGTTGGCTAGTAATTTGACTAGCTGAGCAATTATTAGCCTCTCAAGAAAGACTATATTCTATGGAGGTACTTGTAGGTTAAACCGACGTTATGACAGACCCGGATATAACGGATTTCGTGTAAGCGGACAAAATCTGGCTGTGTACGTATAATTGTGAATATTTAGAGATATTGAGGCTCTAAGAATGTTTAATAGTTCTAAAACTATTTAAATAAAAATAACCCAAATATAAAACCTTTATGTAATCACCTTGTGTGCTTCTGTGTTTGTTACATGTATTCTGTGTTGTACTTCCGTGAATACCCCTTCACTCGGTTATAGCGGGTATAGTCGATAACGGATACCTTGTCCTCTACTAATTATTCCTTTATAATGAAGGAATACTGTATTTTTCATGCTCGTGGGAGAGTGGCCATTCGAAGTAACGGAATTATGTTGATTGGCCGGATGTGTTTCACACAGGCAGCAGCAAACACTGAACACGGGTCTTCTTCACACGATTAAACAGTGCACTGAATGCCTGCCATTAAGAACTGTGACGTTATAAAATGCAATATTTTTACTTTTCAGACGTCACTCTGGCAGCCAGATGTTCCTCTGTTGATGAATCAAAATTTTACATAAAGTTCCTTTCCACAGTTTAACAGAAGCGCAGACCAAGTATGTTTTATACCAAGTAATTTCTTCCGATTCAATATACTGCAGCAAACGTTCGGCCGAACAAGGGGACCCAAATTACGTCTGGGTACTACAGGAGAGCTTAGTCGGTACAGCGACTGGCTGCGGGCTGGACAACCGAAGTTCGATTCCCGGCAGGTGCAAGATTTTCCTGTCCTCCCCAGCGTCCAGAACGCCTGTGGTGTCCACCCACCTCCCTACTTGGAGAGATTTCTCCCTGAGTTAAAGCGGCCAGGGCGAGAAGCTGACCAATCACCTCCATCGATTGATGAGGTCAAGCATGATGGAGCTGTACTCTTCTTATATCTTCATGGAGTAGTTTTAATTACTTAAAAAAGATATACAGAAGTATATAAGGTATGCCGTTACACAATAATATTCTGTATTAAAAAACAAAGAAGACACTACTGTATCAATATTTCCTTTTATTATGCTTTTACAGAAGCAACATGTTTCGACCCTTACACCGGGTCATCATCAGGCGTTCAATGCTCCAGTATTACCTGATGAATTGCAATTAATTATCATCTAATTCTTCCAATAAGGATCCTTATTATGTCTTGAAATTATTGAAATGCATAAGCACATGTATTAAGTTTTGGTCAAAATTTTCATGTAATCCCATGTAAGAAGGTACCAATACTCGGACGCCCCACGCTGTAGTCGCTTCTCCCGGCATAAAAACCAGACCAAATGTTGATACAGTAGTGTCTTCTTTGTTTTTAAGTACAGAATATTGTAGACGGCTTACCTTGTATACTTTTGTATATCTTATTTATGACACACAACAGGATGTACTATATTAAGATTTAATTACTCAAGCATAAAGACAACTTTTACCTTCTTTTTTTTTCGTTGGCGCTACAGCTCTCATTTGGACCTAGGCCTACCTCCATGAAACTCTCCGTTTCACTTCGGTTTACTAGATCTTACACATATGGTAGGACTCCTTGGGCGGGTGATCAGCTCGTCGCAAGGCCTAACTTTACCTTTAGCTACCATTAAATTCTGAATAGTATTCCTGGTTATTATTCGAATATGTAAAAAAAAGGTAATAAAAAAGGTAAAGTTGTCCCTGTAACAGGCTATGAAGGCTCTTAGGAGTGTGAGAGGTCGAGGCTTCCACATCTTCTAGACAGTCGGCTCATAGATGGCCGTAAGATTGTCAGCCGCCCTTTAACCCACAGGAAACTTCTGGTACATAGTTCTATTAGAGGCTGAGTCGACCCAGGGTCACAATACGGCTGGAAGGATTAGGTCAATTGAAAAAATCTAATGACCTTGAATGTGTACGATAGTTTTTTTTTTATAATATCTCAAGTAGATTCCGGGCCCTCAAATAAAACTCTCTTTCCTCAACGAGTATTGCCTATGATTAAATATTCCATGCTTTTTCGTGAAATGTTACTGTTTCGATGGCAGGTCTGAGCGTGTACTGCTTCAGCTGCAACAGCAGGAATGACGCGAAATGCGGCGATCCTTTCAGCGGCCACCGACTACCTTACGCCGACTGTTCGGGCAGTTACTTCCGGACGCTGATCAACGACGCTACAATAAATTTTACTGACGTGCAAGATGCGTTTCGGTCCTACCCAGCTGAGGTCCACGGCAACGCTACCTGTCAGAAACTCGTCCTCAACTGTAAGTTTCGCATTCTCCCATCTACAGAATTCGCCCCTAACTAAATACTGTACCACCGAGCGGGCTGGTGTCACGGTAATGTTCTAGACTCGTATTTAGGAGGTGCTCAGTTCGAATCCGAGCCTGACATCAGCTACCTTGAAGAGTTCTATCTTCTGGGATATAACGCCGAGTAGTCGGTTAAAAGTCTGACGTCTCCTTTCACGCTGGTTTCTTGCTTGGATTATTCTTCGGTCCTGAATATTGAGGAGATATGTTCCTCCGAAACGTTGATTGACATTCAACGGACTCTACGGCGTTATATCTCGGAAGCTAGAACTATTTATAACCACCGCTGTGAGAACCTCAAATATTACAACAGTTACTCAGTCTGTAATAACTAGGGCCCGGATTTTTATGCCCCAATAATCCCTTAAATATGTATGCATTTATTCATGAAAAACTTCCGAAATATGCACTAAAATATGCACATAAAAGTTTATACCAAACATTAAAATTGGTTTTACATTATTTTAAGACCAACAAATCAATATTTAAGTTCATTTTATGTAATCACTGAATGATTCACTTGCAATAAAAAGCTGTACTTAAATACAAACCATGCAACAAAGCCAACATATTTCATTACAAATTTTAAAAAACCAATGGTACTCATATTTAGCTCTCCGAACTTTCAACTTCTCTTCTATTGCAGTTCACAATTACTAAATATTTTAGGTTTTCCATAGTTAGTCGCCTCCTATTGTCTCGTAAGTTGTCCTTATAGCGGGAAAAACTTCTTTCCACCTCGCAGGAACTTAGGGGCGCATGTACAAAAGCCGCTGTTTGCTCCACTGTTAGTGATTTTTTACTTTGCAGTTCAGTACGTTTACCGGCTAAAATTTCTTCAATTTCCCAAATTTGTTCATATCCTGGATTTTTTGAAAGAATGCTGTGTACTTTTTCCTTTACTTCATCAACTCTTCCAGGAACCGAATTCAATTTGGAAACAGTGGTTTTGAACACACTTAACGACTGATACAAAGTAGAATTGCTATTGCTTGCCTCCAGTGAGGAAATGGCGGATGGAAGATGAGAGAAATGAGCAGATATATAGGAAAGATTAGTTTTTAGTTCTTAGTTTTTAATATTTTAATATTTACATGTTTCATTTCTCAGTTCTTAATAACACTTAGATTTAAGTTAATGAAATTATTATTATTGCTATTATTAGCATTTGTTTGTTTACTTTTCTGCATTATTGTGTTTTCCCCAGTGCTTGCCTGTAATTTGTTTTTGACTTTATAATGTAATTACTTGTATCTACACTGTGCTCTGTCTGTAATTGGCCTTGTAGCTGTTGGCTCGGCACATAAATGATAAAGAATTGAATTGAATTAAGCGTTTAACATATCCATTATTGCTGAATTGCATTTTTAAATGTGTAAAGCTATCCCTGTTACAGGCCGTGGAGGTCCAGAGGCCTGCGAGACGTCGAGGCTCCCACATTTTCTATACAGTTGACTCACAGATGGCGGCGAGGTTGTCAACCTTATGCTCCGGCCACCCTTTACCCCCAGGAATCTTCCTGGTACTCATTTCTGTTAGAGGTTGAGTCGACTCTAGGGCCATAATGCGGCTGGAAGGATTAGGTCAATTCAGAAATCTAGTGACGTCATCGAGAGTGTAACGACGTGAATTAACTCGAGAGCGAAGGCCATGGCAGGCCCCTGTGTTTCCTGTGTTGGATCTAATAGTATCAGGATTGTAAAAGTGCAGCCCATACCGGATTATAGAGAGTTTCCGCATGTGTCCCTTGCAGGCCGCGCTCAGATGGTCCCATATAAAGTAAATATACGTATAATTGTTTAATATGTAGTGTGCTTCCAAGTCGTATTTCGAAAGAGAACGAAACAAGCAAAAAGAACTCGTAGATGATGACACTAACCCCCTACGCTCGCAGGGTCACAGTGGAAGTATTCGAACCCGCCCCCACACGGTGGAATCTGATCTGTCCTGCATTCCGTTTGGTCTGTTATCTTCTACAGTCGGACGGACTAGAAGACGCCTTCTTGAAGGGGTTCGTCCATAACGGTTGTCTGCGTTGTCTCGGGAAAGTATTTTCATTTTTAGGTAACAGGTTGATTTTATCTCTAGTAGCTGTTAGATGTAGCGGGAACAACGCTTATTGAACCATTGTCCCGTAATTGACGCCTCTGTATGCGCTGTTTAGGAAACGTGTTTTAACAAGCCGTTGTCTAGCAATGGATGCCCGCTCAGATATTCTGGCTTTTAGGCGGCACGCCACAGTCGGAACGGAGAAGCCTCTGACGCAAATGGGAAATGCATGGACCTGAAGATATAGCTCGAAAACTGTAGTGAGTGGTTCGATTCTCGGACTGCTGTTCATGTGTGTCTGTGCCGTTATGTGATACTGGAAATTGTGCGATAGTTTCATCCTCTTCCAAAGGAGTTCCATTTCTGATTCTGATAAGAATTTAAGAAGTCTTTTCAAGAGACAAGGCCAATAGTTATTTGAATTAACAAATTCTGCTTCAGACATGCAAGAGAGGGCATTTATTCGAATTTGTTCCTACATTTTGATATCTTAGAAATAAGCAATGTACATGAATGTATGTTTCAGATGGCAGTGGAAATGTTACGTTTCGCACCTGCTCTGTAGGCAAACTAAATGGTGCCGAAACGTGTCACATGCATATGAAGAACTTCCTCAGTGAAAACGTTCTCTTCTGCGAACAGTGTCAACAGAACCTATGTAACATGTCTAACGCTGCCCACAGCAATTTTCTTGTCCTGTTTATGACATCGTGCACCGCTGTCTTCATGATGTCGCTTAGTTTCCACAATGTACCATGATTTGTCTTCACAAGCAAGTACAGTATTATGTACAAAAACACTTACTCTGTATCACCTCAACTGTTTAACAAATTATGGGGCATACATAATGGACAATTCTAGTAATAGAGCCTAATGTAAAGTAACAGCTTAAAAGGCAGTATTTGAATGTTATGAAACATGGCCTTATGTTTATAATTACGTTCTGTATTATTAAGAAATATTAAAAATTTCTTGATGTGTTAAGCTCAATATTTTTTTTGTTACCTAAATAGCAATCAGTATTATCATATTCTATAAGCTATTGTGGTGACATTGGGCTACTGAGCTCGCCCATGGCAGGATGAGGGTCCTTCCATTGAAGGAGCCTCCGTTATTCACTTGAGGTCAATTGGAAGACGTCTTTTCAAGCGTCTATTTTTGGGTTCTTCCAGTAGCGGCTTCATCAATGGATTGATGTGCGTCTCTAGTCGATCATAATGTTTGCTGCTACGCTCTTGGGTTACATCAGAGATGGTTGAGATGCCAAGGTCGTGGTGAAGGGTGTCGTTCGATACGTACCATGGTGCATCTGTCATTACTCGAAGTATTTTGGACTGGGATCTTTGGATGATGGCGATCCTGGACTTACTGGCACAGCCCCATAGCTCAGTCCCATAGGTCCATACGGGCTTCATCACAGCATTGTATATCAGGATAAGATCAATATAAATAACCAAGAAAGCTGCCTCAGACGGTAATGCATCTGACTTATAGTTGGAATACTCCGTGTCCGTAACTCGCCCGGGACACCGATTATTTTAAATGTTCTGACGATGATGTATGAAACTCAGAATTACTGGATTTTTGGACTTTGTCCATTGTCCGGTATTCTACAAACTAGAGAGCACGATGTAAGATTTGAGGCTTTCACGGCGGTGACTATGAAGAAAGCAGTCTTCTGGGATTTGGCACCGTGTATATGTGGTGTTAACCGACGTTTCGGAGGAACGTATCGCCCCCATCTTCAGGGTTGAAGAAGTATAGGTAAATCTGCAAGCGACAACACCGTGAGACACGGTCAAGCANAAGACTGCTTTCTTCTTAGAGAGCACGATGTTTCGGAAACTGGATCTGTTTCCTTCCTCAGGTGAAGGGGAAGACACCTACTCTGTTGGCTCCCTCACTACTTTCTAGAATACCGGATGATGAACACGGTCTAAAAACCCAGTAATTCTGACCGATTATTCTGATTGAGGTTTTATGTGCTTTCTCTCGTTACATCCTGGCCAATGTGTGGCCGTGGCCACTTCCTTCCTTGTTCTTTCCAATGCATCATCTATTATCATCCTACCGTTCGACTCTGTGTGTATTCCGAGCCACTGATATCGTCGTAAAATAAGCCACAGAAGAGAGTCGTACCGAACACGGTGGCTCGAGCGGTAACGGTTCGGACTTATACTGGGTTAGTACCCTGTTAGAATTTCGACAGGGTAGCCGACTGCCTTAACTGAGGCTTATCAACTTTTTCCACAGCCTTCCCAAACGAATGCTGGGATAGTATTGTAACGTGGATAGCCGCTACTATGTAAAAGGCGAATAAACAACGGTGTTATGCAAACCCGTTTCTAGGGAACGGATCGGTAAATATATTCAGGCAGTAACGAATACGGACGCAACAATAGAAGAACCCGTTTCTAAGCAACGGATCGGTAAACACACAACAACAGGGTTATTGTTGCAAACGTTGCTTTGTCTTCGGTCCGCACAAAGTGGCTTTAAAGAAGATTGTTTCAGTCAGTCGAGTTTCGAAACGCCAGCCTGCCGCGGTATGAGCTTGGGAACAGAGAGACTGAATTGAGTTGGCAGTTGCAGAATAATGGCAAGAAAGAAATTAGGCTATGCAAAGAAGAGTTCATGTGTGAGACTGTCAAAACTACTGTGCTGAAATCCGTTACCAGGATACGACTAATGAAGTTTGAGAATTCCAATGCATTCGTAACAGTGAACTGCAAAGTATGTAGATTAGTTATAGTGCTGTAATTGCCTGTAGTTCCGAGCGGTGTATACACGGTGTCAACAAAACTGATCATCCAATTTAGAACCCGTCTATAAGTCACGCATACCCAAAACACGTGACTTCTTCTTCTTCTTCTTCTTCTTCTATGGCGCAACAGCCCGATGTCGGGCCTTGGCCTCCCTTATCAATCCCCTCCATCCTCTCTGCCCTGCGCTGCTCTCTTCCGGTTCCTTACACACTTTCACTTCTTCGCATCTTCTTCCGCCGCATCAATCCATCGAGTTCTTGGTTTCCCAGCGCGTCTCCTGCCGCCTGCTGTACTATATAATATTTTCTTTGGGATACGCTCCTTATCCATTCTCTGTACATGCCCAGCCCATTGCAGTCTTTTAAGCTTTATCGTCACTGAGATCTCTGGTTCCTTATATAATTTGTATAACTCTTTATTGTATCTTATTCTCCATATCCCAGTCTCTTGTATTGGTCCGTAAATTCGTCTTAGGATTTTCCTCTCGAATGAATTGATGACTGATTCCTCTTTCTTGTTTAGCTTCCAACCCTCACATCCATAATAAAGCACCGGTCTTATCATTGTTTTATATATTTTTGTTTTAATCGCTCGGTGTATATCCTTTGATCTAACAACTGATAGTAACGAGAATATGCACTGTTCGCTAGTTCTATTCTTCTTGTTATTTCATGATTTTCCTCTCCATCTTTGTGGAATTTCGATCCTAAATATATGAAGTCTTCAGCTATTTCTGTCTCGTCCCCTTCCGTGTTAATTTCTCCAGTTTGCCTTGGATTCCTTCTGGATTGTATCAGCA